CAATGGGAGGCTTCTACTGAATTTAATCCCCTTTGAAGACGACTTTCTGGAGGAGCACGGCGCAGAAGACGAAGTTACTGTTGTTGATGATGATGATGATGAGATCGATGATATAGACGGACAGGATACGGAACCAGAAGAAAATCTCACGGAGGAGAAAGAAGCAACGGTGATGAAGGAGTCTGATCAATGTGAAGGTGGGACCGGGTGCTGTATGTATAGTAGCATGGAATCAAACCATTGTGGGCTTGCGGTGGCAGTGCCAACGTCTAGGGCAGTTCATACCCAAGCTCCCCCACTCCTCAGATTATCAACCTGCTAGTTATTTCATTGATTAATTAGTAAATCATAGCTTAAAGTGCATTTGATTTTGATAAAAATTGATGAATTATGTGATTGAAATTTATGGGTTTCCATCAAATGTATGATTAAAATTAAATGAAGATTTTAACATAAATTTTAATAAAAAAATTTAGTTGAACCAAATAGGGACTAAAAACTTGAGTTGACAATTTAAAGGTACGATTGACGAACGTCTCGAGATGCAAATTGACATGTTAGCGCAATAGGCTAGTGATGTCTAGATTCCTAACTCTAAACTATTAGATAAATCAAAGTCGAGCTCAGCAACTGGTTGTATCGATCTAAATTCGTTGTGATAATATGAATTTAAACTTTAATCTTCATCTAGATCCTAGAAAAAAGACACTATAAATTGTGGAATTGTTTATCAAATCCATCCTTCGGAATTTGTGGAGATAGTATAATGAAAAAATTCAAGATCCTAAAAAAGAACGAGAGTTGTAGGACGTGTACCATTATGTAAGATTCAAGAATTACATTACTCTTAATGAATTTTTTATTTTTATTTTTGCTTACAACTGTTAAAGGATTTTTTTTTTATCAGTTATCACCACTTGGGATTTGTTTGAATATAAAACTATTTTCTATGCAATGCAAATTATTTTTACTTGGATTTTTTTTGATATATATAAAATGGAAAGAGTTAGGACACTAGAAAAGGGCATTTGTAAAAATGTCCAATTTTACGTAAGTCAATTCAAAATTGTCCACTTTTAATAATATTTGTAAAAATGGCCAAATTTGACATCAAATTCTTTATTTTACCCTTAATAGAAGAATAAATAATTCATATTATTCATGTCAAATCACAATTAATACTAGACACGAAAAATGTCGAGAACAACATTTAAAGTATAGAGAAATGTTATATTCGGAATGTAATGTCATTCTAAACATTTAATATGTCGAAAATGTTTGAAATGTCGAGAATATTTAATATTGTAATTTGACATGTATACTTTTGAAATATAAACGGATTCAAATATCGAGAACGATATTTGAAATGTCGAGAACATTTTTTAAATGTAACTTCTTATGAAGCTATCTAAGGGTACTCTTGTCCAAATAATTGCAAAAATATATATTGAAAAATTTTGGATATTTTTACAAATAATTATGTTAAAATGGACATTTTTTGTAATTTCCTCTATAAAATATTTGAACTTCAGATTTTTCAAGACATGGCCGCATTGAAAAATGGTCCTCTTATTAGTTTTTTTTTCGTGGATTTGATCTTATTTTTTCACAAACTGCAAACTGAATCGAATCCGTTGAAAAAGCCATTGAAAGCCAAATAGCATTACTTTTGTCAATCAACCTTTACCAAAATTCAAGTTTTGCTTACTGCAAAGCAGACGTATTGAATGCAATTAGCAGGAAGATGAAGCTGTAATGGTGCAATTTAGACAGTCAAATTTCTCGGCTTCAGCTGTTCAAACGAGTAAAATCTGTCTCTGTCTCTGTCTCTGTCTCTATCAAACGTCATAATTTTTTAGATTCGTTCAAGAGAAAGAATCTTACTTGGAAACCTTCCATTTTTGTAGTCTTGTAAATTTTTATTTCTTTAACCCCACATCAATAAAAAATTCAGAGGACAATAAGTTTCTCATTCTTGCAGCTGACAAGCATTCAATTATCAATTCATTCGCATTGCCATTTCGTGCAAAGAATCTTCAAACTCCAAAGCTCTCATTAGTTGATACCTTTTCATAAATTCATCGCAAATCTTGTGAGTTTTGATCTTCTGGAGGATCTGATCCAAATTGAATTAGGCGATTGGGTTTCTGTTATTTCTTGATTGATCTGGGTTGTATAGGTTTAGCCTAAATTTTCTTGAACAAGAAAGAGGTGGAATTTTTTTTTAGTCTAACGTTGTGCTGCACTTGATTTGACTCGTGCTTTTACAAGAAATTAAGGTTATTTATAGTTGTAAAACTGTTAATGGCTGCGGAAGAATTGGTTGAGCTCAAATTCAGACTTGATGATGGAAGTGATATTGGACCAATCAAATACAGTTCCAGTACAACTGTGGGATTTCTCAAAGAAAAGATAATTACACAATGGCCCAAAGGTTTTAAACATTTTTTTTTTCACTGATTTATAAGATAGTAAGAATTTTCAAGTGTTAATTATATATAATTTGTTATCTTTAGTTTCTGTCTGAATTTTAGGATTATCTGATTCATTTTTATTGTTCAGACGTATGTTGGAAATTGATTTATTTGTGTGCAGGCATTTTAGCAATTTAGCATGTTCTAATGGGAAGCATTAGGGACCTGAATTTCCAGTTATTTCTTTATTATGCATCATATATTATTTAGTGCACAGGTTCCCTTTTTCTTTTTATTTAGTGAAATTTTCATTTTAAGCTGGCCAGTTTCAAGGTTTTAGTTGTTTCCCAACAATTCCATCAAAGATTCTCCTGTCCATGACATAACTGCTAGATGAATTCCCTTTAAGTACATGTATGGTACTCGGGATTGAACAAAATTTTAGTTTTTTATTCCTTAATATTCTATGGTGCTGCACAGTCCGACAATGGATGGTAGGACTTTGTGTCTTCTTCAAATGTTCAAGTTTCTTATTCAATAATCTTTAGCTTACAAGAAAAGTAAAATGATTGTTAGAAGTTTTGTTTTTCCCCATTCCTATTGACTCAACTCTCAGCTACAATGAAGTACTTCCCCGCAAAGAACATGTTTCCGTTGATAGGAAATTTCATCGATTTAGCAACTCTTTGGTTAGAACAAGGCTCTTTTTGAATTCTTTTACATCTAATTATGATGATCCGATAAGCTTAAGGATCATAATGAAGTCACAGATGAAAGTAAACGTACAGGTGAGGATCCATTAGCTTTCTCTACATAAGCTTGTGAGGATCCATTAGCTTTCTCCACATAAGCTTGTGTTCACAGTATTAACTGAGCTATTATCCTTTTTATTTTTAGTTTTTCTGTAGCGTAATTATTGCGCCATTATTTTTCTTTGGTTTATATGTTGATGCATTATATCCTCACAGATATCATTCGTACTGCAGACAAAGGAAATGGGCCAAAATCTATAGATGATTTAAAGCTTATTAACGCAGGAATGATTCTGGAAAATAACAGAACACTTAGGGAATCACGATTGCCACTCACTGAAGTTCCTGGAGGTGTAATCACTATGCATGTCGTCGTGCGTCCTCCTCTTCCTGACAAAAATACTGGTAATTCACAACCCAATAAATATTTGAGCATGAGCGTCGCCCAAGCTCATGGACACACACGATGATTTTAGATAAATGGCTAGCCTAGGCTATCTGCATTGTTACTACACCTTTGGTACATAGTACTGAGTAAGATTAGACTTAGCTTACTTTTCTTCGTTAATATTGTCAAACACTCTTATCCAATCTTCCCTACTAAACATGCCATTACATTTCAAGTCCTTTCCTTATTGGAAACCTTGTTCCTCTCTTTTCCTTACTCTCACGACTTCTCGCTCTATTTCTCCTGTTAATAGTTATCTCACTTTGTATGCACAGATAAACTCAAAAATGATGCCATGAACAAATGTGGATGTTCCTGCTCTATCTTGTAAGCGACCTAACAAATTTGTGCTTCCCAAATGTTCGTGCTGGATTGAATTCAGGAATGTCACACCTGTCAACAGATTCAAAGCAGGGACGCCAAGTTTACTTGTCCATCTCCGTTGGCGCACAAGATCTCGATAGATAAATGAGCAAAATCTGAAGGATTTCTTGAGAATAGATTACACATTACTTGTCACTGGTATATTTGGCTCTCTTTTGCACGTATAACAAAATTCAGAACTTGTATTAGATTGTGTTTGGATGCATAGCATACGAATGAAAGGTCGAATGTGTTATAAAATCATAAGAATCGTCAAAAAACAATTCAAATTTATAAATTTGAATCTAATTTCAAGTCCAACATTCTTATTTCTAAGACAGGAAAGACATATTTAATCAATAGATTATCCATACATAATTAGTTACAACAAAGAGAAGGGAGAATACTTGATGAGGTAAAAGGATCAAAAGACTGTAAGGTGAAAAAAAAGATCTTTTTAAATTACATAAAATCTAAGCCGCCCCTTATACGCTTGTAAAAATATATGGCCACCTCATTTTTATTTACGACAGAGAACTGCATTGAGCTACCGAGCACCACAAGTTAAATATAACATATTCTAAAGATTTATCCGGGGGCTTAGTTCACTCGTAAGAAAGGTGATCTAAAGACGAGGATCGACTTGGGGTTACGAGCTTTCTTCATAAACGAACATTTTTTAGCATCATCGCGAGTTTTTCTCTCTCACCTTCCACCTCTTCAAACTGGAGGCTTAGTTGAGAGTACCTATCATGCATCTCTCTCAATTCGGCTTCCACAGCTGCATGCCTTCCTTTCATTTCTAACATTTGCTTGATCAGTGCATTGATGCCTCGGAAGCTTTTGAATACTGCTTTCTCGTCGTTATGTTGCTTCAAAAAAGAACTAAAATATGGAGCAAAGGATAAACGTTAAATTCTAATTCACAATTTGTAATAGAAAATCTTTAATCATCGAAAGAACTATGAAATTCCAACTTTTCTGGTGAAGGACCTACCTCTGGAAATGGATATTTGAGTTGTTTTTTGCCTTCAATGATTCAACAAACTCGATTTCCAGTGCAAGTACTCTTTCTAATGCATTTCCACTAACTGAGATTTCATTGAACAAAAGAAACATGCTTCTGAGCTCATTATTTACCTTCCAATGAAATATGAAGAAATGGAGATAAGACTTTGTAGGCGATATAAATATAAATTCCATAAGACAGTAAGCTCATCCTTTGTAATTGCTCAAGTTCTTCTTGTGGAACTTGAAAATCAGGGTCAAAATCACGATCTTTGAGAAAGTGAGTATTTTTGGTTTTCATCTTTTCCAGCTGCAGGCAAAAGATAAGAAAAGTGTTGGATGGATCCTCAGTAATTTAAGTGTCACAATGTGGTCTCAGTAATTTTATGATTTGCTAGGAAGAAATACCTCTTCATGCAACTGCCACATGCTAGACTTCAGTCTTTGGGTTGCCAAATGATCGCTATTGACATCTAAACTCTTTCCATCGCTCTGCATGAATTCACATCCAACAAGTACCTCAGGAATCCCATGCATGCCTTTGGATGCAGCATCCTGTTAAATAATTGCAGATGACTATTTTAGTCACAAAATATTTATCACATTGAAGGAATGTATGGTAACAATAGAACATCAATAGTTTTCCCTAAGATCTAAATTACTTAAAAAGCTTTTTTTCCATGGAGGTGGTTGTTTGACTCGAGACTAATTAACATCTATAAACTGCATTGTATTGCTTCATTACCACAAGTCGTAAACGTTCTACTTGGGCATGCATCATAGTTCTCAAGATCAATACTACTTTGTGCATGACAAATATTGTAGAGTAAGTGGTAAAAAATTATTTCAATGAGTTGCTACCTTAGTAGTTAGCACTTCTTTTGAGCACATTGAGCACAACAAATTTGGTAAAGAGTTTCTAGATAACTCATTGACCGGTTCAGCCCCCTCATCACTTTCCTCCTTTTGAAAACTGCTGGAAGATCTGAATTTCTCCACTTGTTCTTTTATTGAGGCAAGTTCAACCAAAAGTTGAGATTTTTCCCTCTCCCCTTCTCTGAAAGAAGCTTCACGCTTTTCTTTTTCTTCCTTGCAACATTCAAGGCTCAGTGCTGCACATTCCAATTCTGCATTTATGATATCATACGTATTGACTTCATGCTTTTCTGCAAGTACAGACTGCAATTCTTTTTTCCATTTCCCAGAGTTTGAGTGATAGCTCATTGTTCCTCTTTAAGTTCACAGCTTCCGACTTCTTCCCCATTATCAATTTCATCAATGGAATCTTGCAATTTCAAAAGCATTTCTTCACCATGCTTTTTGATATAGAAAGCTGTTGATTCAGTTCATGGATTTTAGTCTCATACTGCTCTTTGATGAATGCAACTCTCAAGGTATCTTGCATGACAACTGGCGGTCCTTCAGGTTCTCTTTTTTTCGCGAGCATGGGATGAACATTCAGCTTCAGCTTTGTCTTTGAGTTCCTTCAAATTAATGGACAAATTCTTAAATTCTTCAGTCTTCATAACCTGTAAAGAAAGCTTGTGGGAGAGCTCATTACATCGGGACCGAAGCATCAAGAGTTCGTCTCTATTATCTTGGACCGAAGGCATATAAGCATACTGTTCATCCACTTTGCCTTTGATTACTATCGACAAAATATCAAATTCCTCTTTCAAGAATGTCAAGTGACTGATATCCTCTTCAGCCTCGGCCAAAGTGCCTTTTAGCTGCTCTACCATAACAGCCTGTAAATTATCCTTTGACAAACTGGTTTCCATCATAGTCAACTTACTTTTGTACTCTTCAAGTTGATACTAGATATCATTGTTAGAATCTGCAAGAAGCTTGTTTTGAGCTACAGAGGCTTCAAATTCTGTTCTTAGGGTTTTAAGGCTGGTCAACAAATTAGCATTTTCTTCAGTCATATGAGCTTCACTTGCAAGGTACTGATTCAACATAGCCTCCATATCATGATACTTTTTCAGAAGCTCCAAAAGGCACCCATCTGAAGACTTAAGTTGCTGCAGAAGTTCCTGAAGTAGGGATACATATTGATTTGTGATATAAGCAAGTTTAACATCTGCAGCAGTTGAGTACTCTCGCATTTCAAATAACTGACTTTCAAGATCATTTGTACGAGAAGTACCTTTCCGAAGCCTTTCCATAAACTCATTTTGCTGAACCAAATGGTGAGAAAGTCTTGATTTCTCCAATTCAAGATCTGATGCTACTTGCCTGAATTGAGAAAGTTCAGTTTTTTGCTGTTCAAGATTGACCACTCTGTCATGCTCCTTGTTTAACTGAGCGGTAAGATCTACGATTTTCCTATCTAGTTCATCTTTGAAACCATTTTCAACCCATAGCTCTTCATGCAAATTGCTCAAATTTTCGTTTAGACAACTAATCTAAGAAGCAAGCTTTATAGATTCCCCAGTTTTATTCTCTAAGGACACCATGAGGTCTTTCTTATCTTTTATCATCTCTGTAATGGTTGAATTATTCCTCCCGAGTTCCTCAGCCAGAGCGTCCAAGCCTAACATGTCTTGGGCTATGTGACCATTTTTAGATGTCAATTCTGACATCTGATTTTGTAAAAGAGCAAGATCAGCCAAAAGTTCTCTGTTCTGCTGAGCAGACTTTTCTTCAATTTCAGAAGTGAGGTGGAATTTATCAACAGATTCGACTTGAACATGAAGGTTGTCCACAAAGGCATTGAACTCTACTAGTTTAGCAGCCATATCCTGCATGTCACCTTCAAATTTTTGCACATGTTCCTCAAGTAGGGTTTCATATTGTTTTGTAAAATAAGCAAGTTTAACATCTGCAGCAATTGAGCAATCTTGCATTTCAAATAAATGACTTTCAAGATCAGTTGTACGAGACAAACATTTTTTAAGCTTTTCCATGAGACCATTTTGCTGCCCCAAAAGTTTACAATGTCTTGATTTTTCCAATTCAAGATCTGATGCCACTTGCCTGAAGTGCGTGAGTTCAGTTTTTAGCTCTTCAAAATTGACCACTTTGTCATGCTTCTTGTTCAACTGAGACGTAAGATCTCGGATTTTTCCCTCGTTCATCTTTGAAACACTTTTCGATTTGTATCTCTTTGCACAAAATTATCAAATTTTCTTTCAGACAACTAATCTCAGATGCAAGCTTGATAGATTCACTAGTTATATCCTGCAAGGACACCATAAGGTCTTGCTTATCTTGTATTAGCTCCGCAATGGTCGATTTATTACTCCTGAGTTCCTCAGCCAGAGTCTCCAAGCCTGACATTTCTCGAGCAATGTGACTATTTTAGACGTCAGTTCCTGCATCTGATCTTGTAACAGAGCTAGATGGTCCAAAAGTTCTCTGTTCTGCCTTGAAGACCTTTCTTCAATTTCAGAAATAAGATGGAATTTGTCAGCAATAGATTCAAATTGAACTTGAAGGTTATCCACAAGGGCATTTGATATAACTAGTTTAGCCTCCATATCCTGCATCTCACTTTTGAATTTCTGCTTCATTGCCAGAATTTCTGACCTGACAATGCTCAAGGACATCTCAGCGGTGACTTTTTCACTTTTTAGATTTTTCTTCTCCTCCAGCAATTGATGTAAATAGCCACATGCATTACGCCGGATTTCTTCTAACTCCAAGTGGAATCTTTGAAGTCTGTGAACTCCAAATCGAGACATTGAGAGTTGCTGAAAAAAGCCAATCCACAAAATTGTTTATTGTATGATGACAACAGGATAGCCCACTTCTCTTTGATGTAGCTGATATTTTCCTGAAGATTTTCCTTTATAGAAGCCAATTCATCTGATTCAACTTTAAGCATCCTCAAAATTTTCCTTTAAAAGAGATATTTCATTTTGAAGATTCACATTTTCTGATGCCTCCTGTTCAAACAGAAGTGATAGCTCTGCATTCTCTGCCAAACATTTCTCAAATTTTCTTTGGTAACTTTTGTATTCAGTTACAAGCTCTTCACAGTCTGTCAGCTTCAGTGCAAGAAGATAATTTTCCTCGGTAATACTTACTACTTTATCTTCTAAAATTTGATTTCGCAGAGCCATGTCACTACACAGGGCAATGCAACTAGATTTGTACTCTGTAAGAGTTTGAATATCATCAATGGCCTTCTGCAACATTCCCATCAACTGATCTTTGACAGCATTTGAAAGCTTTGACTCCTCTGCGAGTTCATAAAATTTTCAATTTATCATGTTAGATTCTGCATTTGCTTCAAGCAGCGTTTCTTGCAAAGTTTTTGAATATATTTCCAAGTTCAAGTTCACAGAATGCATTTCACCGAGCTCTTCTTCAACCTTTTGATAAAGCCCTTCCTGCAAGTAGAGGGGTCTCTTCAAGTCCTCTAAAAGGGTATCTCCACCTACTGGTTGTTTCTTTGAACCCAAATTTTGATTCTGAAACTGCAACAGTGTAGTATCATCACAATTCTCCTGACTATGCACTATTATCGGGTCTCCTTGCAAACATGGTGGGCGAGATTCTGGGAGAGCCTGCTTAATGATATTCTCATTAGTCTCAAACATGGACACAACCTGAGAAGAAAGCAGCTCAAGGTCCTTCTGTAATTTATTCACTGCAATTGAGTAATTTAATCGGGCTCTTCTGAGAGCTGCTTCCAAAGCAGCAGCCTGTTTTTCAAGCTCCTTATTAAGGGCATCCAAACTGCATCTCTTGTCTGCAAATCGTAACACCTGACTGTTCATATCTTGATGCGTTGATTTGATTTCAGTTCTGTTGGCAGATAGTACAGGCAAGTAGAATGATCATTCCAGAGACTCTGCAACTCTCCTATCATTCGCTTCTGATTTTCCTCCAGCTCCTGAATAAGAGCTTCGTAATAGCACTCCATCTGATTCAATTTTCTCAGAAGACCTTCCCTTTCGACTTTAGCGTCATCCAACTCCCTTACGAGATCTAAAATTTGGCCTTTCATAGGGTCAATAACACATATAGAGTTGGATACTTGAGACACTGGAGGCGGTACGCTGAAATGATGAAGAATACTTTCCGGCTGAAATGAGTCCAAACAAACCCTATTGGTAGATAAATACTGTTCACCATTTTGAACTGCTTCACCATTTCTGCATTTAATGTCCCGAAGAATAGTGAGCACTGCTTCCAACTCGGAATAAATAAATCTACTATCACTTTCATGGAAGCAAACATATGCTTTGAAGTTCTCTTACCATGTCCTCCACTACTGATATCTTCTTTGACCACTCGACCTGAACGTTCTGGAGTAAGTGATTATCCTGATTGGCGCTGGTTTGCTTAATGGTAATTTGCGGGCTAAATTTCAAATCTTTATACCTCTCTATATCTTCCTTGAATCGCAAGCATTCCGATTTCATGACAGAGACTTCTTTTGTCAATTCTTCAACTGAAGATTTCTCGGCGACAATGAGGTTGGAGAACTTTTAGGTTTCAGTACCCAATTCATCAGCTAGGCTTTGCAAGGAGCTGACCTCCATCTTAAGTTCCGAAATAGACGATTCAGCCAATTCCAAGCCTTCGCTAAGTCCATTATTCTCCTCACGGGCCATTGCCAACTCGTTATCCATGGAATAGTCCAAACTCCACCTGCGAGCCGAATCACTACTACCTTGGGTCATAGTTTGATGATCAGATGGATCTCCTTTTTCTGTATGTACACTTTGACAACAGGCAACCCCATTCAAATCATCAGATACCATGCTTTTGAGGTTATCAATTTCATGCACGCTAGAAGTCTTATGCTTTTCAGTATATAACTTTCTGAGTTATTGGATGAACCATCAAATCCAACACCCGAGTCTGCATATTCTTCATTCAGGCTCATAGCTTCCTCCTCAACTGAGGAGAGCTCTTTATCATCTGATCTCAATCTAATTATTCCCTTTTCCTGCAGGTGAAGAATAGAAACAGAAAAATCCAATCACTACAGAGCCCATGTCAATTCATAGTTTTCACTTTATATTTCCACTATCACATTTCTAGAGAAGTTGTTGAACACATACAGAAAAAAAAAATAATAATAAAAAGTGTTGCATCAGAGATCACATTGTCCACAACATAGAATTATTAAACCAAAAATATTTCTTGAATTGGTTTATACAACAGTCAGAACATACAAATAAGCAAGTCTATGTAAATAGCAAAGATAAAGAATGAGGAGAAGAAACAATCACATATACAACTGTTACCACGGACAGAAGCAAAGAAATAGTCAGACCTTATCCATCTGATCATGGAGTTTTCTTCAGAACGTGATATTTTGCCAGTACCACTATCTCCATGCTGGCCATCAACTCCTGCTTCCAACCCTCTTTCTCTGAGTTCTCTCTGTTGCTCAAATTCCCTGAAAGAAAACAAAAAACAAGTTTACTTAATTTATCCTAAATCAAGGTTAGCATCATAAAGATGCTGCCAATGAAAATTTGAAAGAAAGCATATTGAACAACTTCATAAAACAATGACAAATGAATCTACGACGCAAATTACCAAAGAAAGAATCACTCTACACGGCAAAAAAAGTAAATGTGGAGATGCATGTGCTAAAATACCAGCGAGAACAAGCAATGATGACAACTGTGTACATTCTTGTCAAGCATCAGCATCTCATAAATCAGTATTCTAGTCAAGTGTTAGCATATCATCATCCATCTTCGACTTGGTACAGTAATAGAGCTGAGTTTAATATGAAGACATCAAGTTAATGTTAAATATTGCTCCTTACATGGAAAAGGATTTTCTCCTAGGGGGAGATTACCAGCAAATAGACTTCTAGCCTAAGAAGCACAGATATGTGTAAACTTATTGTGCACCCGTATCCGATATGTATTCAAGCTTGAATACGCTTGGACACGTTCTAATACGTACCAGACATGTATTTTTAATTATTTTATACATTTTATATTTTTAAAATTTTCGACACATATCAGACACGTTAGGACATTTGAAGAAGAGTCTTATTGATTTTAAACTCTTTTAAAACTCATTATTATTGGCAATCACAAAGTTTATTTTTTATTTTTTTATTTTTATTTTTTTTTACTTAATAAATAACTATTGTTATTTTCAATAACTTATTGGAAATAGATTATATTTAACCTTTGTTTGATTCCCATTTTGGAAGAAATAATGCATTTTGAATTGTAAATTGACAGAAAATGTGTAGTTAAAAATTAAAGAAAAGTTTTGGATTTGCATGTGATATTATTTTATTGAAGAATGTATGGTTGAAAATGAATTTTGAAAAAATGAATTTTTAGAAAAATAGAAATCAAACAGGGACTTAATAATTAACAATAATGAAGAAAGTAAACATGTTTTAAGATAATAGATAATTATAAGTCACATTATTATTGAAAATAGATTGTTATGAAATAATTGACAACTACAATTTTAAATTAATTGACATTGCCTAAGACTTATTTGATACTCTAGAAGGTGTAGAGTTCTTTGAGGTTATTAATTTATCATTAGATGATTCAGGGTTCGAGAATGTAATTTTTAATGATAATGAAGAAGTTGATGTTGGTCATGTTGAAGCAAATGAAGTTGGAAAAATTAAGAATTACGATAAAATGATTAAGTATTTTATTTTAATTACAGTTGGAGTTGCCGGTTCTTTTTGGATTTAGTAAGAATCCAAAAGGATTTTTGGGATTTTTTTCCATGAAGAGTCACACATTAATGGAGGGTAATCCTTGTGTCTTTTCTTCCAGGCAAAGACTTGTTCCTTAGTGTAGTTGTCGGTCTTACCACCAGTTGTCAGGCTTCAGTTTCAATGTTCTTTTATATAATAATGAAATTATGATGAATTTTATGACTTAATCTTATGAAAAAAATACTATACACACCAAGGAACCAGATAGAATTGTAGGTTAATGTGAAGATTCCTTGAATTTTCTAAATAAAGTCTTTGTACGCTCCATATGACTATTATCAATGGGTCACTTCTAGCTCCTCAGTTTCCTAATATATTGGCCCAAGGAAGGTGACTTTGGACCTACTAAGTTCAAAATCTACAAACTTGAAAAGAATAAGAATGGAGGAAACAATATGAACGTAGCATCCGAAGATTAAATAAGAGCATGCGTCTTTCCGATGTTGGAAATTCTTGTTATGAGTAAATCACACTAATGGAGCATTCAAGTGCATGACGTAGTAAAATTACAACAAAAATGTATTTAGCAGAATTCGATGTCCCCTTACATGTAATATAGTTCCAAAGTTGCATCCTTGAAGTGGAAGTGCAATGGCACAAGGCCTCAATGCATCAGCATAATCAGCAAGATTGATAATAGCCTCAACAAGAATGCTAGCCCGTTACGTACCCTGAAATCAAAGAAATTGAGTCCAAATGTAATGTTGACTGAAGTTAAAAAGAATTGACAAGCTAAACACTTAATCCAAGACATAGAAAAAGGAAAACCATTCAGTCAAGCATTCGAATCATTCTCATTATCAAAATGAACAAACATAAAACAAGATATAATAATCTGATGCTGGTATTCAAGCTTTTCATTTTTTTTTGTAATATGCGCATGAAAGAAAGAAAATAGACACATTTTAGGTGTTCAGACAGTCTTGTTAGGTTAGGCCATGTGTTTTTCTTTCAGTACTTAAAGAACTCTATTTCTCAAGGAGGAGATGTTACAAGACTCTATCCTTAGTCTAGAGTGTAATATGTGGTTACTAAAATTAATTGGATGCGAGTAAGATTCCCATTGTTGGTTATACAGAAAATTTTAGCAATGAAAACATGAGGTTAGATATGTCAAATATCCACGAAATCTATACATTCCATGCACACCCTTGTATGTAGCCATTGAATCCTTTATTACTTTTTGTTTATGTTGTTCAAAATTTTACAGCCAGAAGCTCCAGAAACAATGGAAATGGTTCAAATGAAACATCATAGTCAAGATATATGTAGCCATTGAATCCTTTATTACTTTTTGTTTATCTTGTTCAAAATTTTACAGCCAGAAGCTCCAGAAACAATGGAAGTGGTTCAAATGCAACATCATAGTCAAGATATAAAAACTACCATGGCCACAACAAGTTTGCATGGCTTCTCAACATATTGTTTACTTTTGGAGTTCTGAAGAAGCCTTGTAGTTTCATAAATAGGATCTGCCCATTTACATGTTCCATTTCTTATGCTTGCTTTCGTCGTCTTTGCTGTTGCCTTTCCAGAATCAGCAGAGATAAATGATATAAATAACTTATCCCATCCACTTTGTGGAACCTGCAAAATCAAATGTGAATAATCCTGTTGTTAATTCATTGTAGACACAATAGGTTTGCATTTGCTCAAGTAATTCTACATTTGATAATATCAACCCCTTTGCCATCAATAAATAAGAAACTCGTAAGCAATTCCCATAATCACTAAACACCTTGTGTTCGGCTGTACGTACCGGTAATTCAAACAATGATTTTGAAAGTTATTTTTCTAAAGAAGATCTTAAATTACTTTCTAGAAAAGTAACTTTTAAACACAGTCAAGCAAGTTCTATATAGAGCTTGTCTAAATTACTATTCTACCATATGCAAACATAGCACTCCCACTCTTTTCATATGTAAACTTTGCAACTCTAATTGATCCAATAGAGATGCATTGTCAAGTGTTTCTCACATTAATCCTCCTAGTATTATGGGATTTCTTAAAATAACATTTAGTTTCTAGACTTCTATAACTAGTATTTTATATTTCGCGCTTTCATAAATAGGGCTGCAAATGGATTGAATATGGAGCAGATCTGTCCAAATCCAATCCCATCATATCCGATAATTATACGATCCAATCTGATAATCCAACGGATATTTGATTGTTAAACTCATATCCGATTTTCTATGTTATCGATATCCAATCCGATAATCCGATTAGAAATTGAAAAAATTATAAAGATAAAAATATTATATTAATTAACTTCTAAACCCTAGAATTAAAAGGCCTAAATAGTTTTTTACCCGATTTCTGGTCTACCCATTTACGGATTGCAAACTTTATGATATTATAGTGAGTATCTAATGTGGGAAGTTGGGAATAATGAAAGCAACTCAAACTATTGGCTCCTTCAGTTGTTTAATTTATAAAATAAAGTAATATTTTTTATCTTATTTTAATTAATAAAAAATAAAAACTCTTCAAATATTTCAATTAACAATATTATACAATTGTCTAATGTTATAATACAAGGTTCAAAAAAAAAAAGTAAGTAAATAAATAAATAAATAAAAATATATATGTTTAATAAATTATGTGATCATATATAAAATATATTATATTATTATAACAATTCGGATCGGGTTGTTATTGGATCGGATTGATCTACATCCATATTTGCTTCATTTAGTTAATGGACTATCGAATTCATATCTTGATTGGTTGGGTTATCGAACTGAGATCTTAAATTCATTTTCCATTAATTTCATCATATTCGGGTCAAATTCGAAACAAAATTCAATCCATTGACAACCCTAGTCATAAACTTAACATATATTGCCATTAAATGTTAATGCATATCAATATCACGATATTCTTGAAAATAAAAATGCTCCATTTTTGAGGAAGGTTGATTCTCTTGCTAACTGTGCACAATGGCTACTATTATTAAATTCTTCAATAGATATAACAATAAATGAAATGAAATAGTGAAAAAGCTTCATATGTACAATTTGATCCTGCACGAACAAAGCAAAACTATTTCTAACTTGCCATCCATAGTGGCTTATGCAGTCAAATGACAACCATCCTTATAGATGACTAATGAAGTAGCACTAGCAAATGATTATTTACGAAGGCTAATTGAATACATTTCCTACAATACTCAAACATTGGTCATAAATAAAGAAAATGAAGAGATACGTAAGCATTGAAATTATTCTTATGATTCCAAAACCAGGGGCATGCTTTTTAACTGCACATAAGCATGTAATTATAGCATTCCTTCTTAACTACAAAAGAATGAATTATATAAAGATGATTGCATCAAGCACAATCCAGAGTACATAACATGATTAGAAAGATTATAGTTTTAATCCACGTTGAAACTTGGGAAGTCCAATCTTTTTACAGGTTCAAGATGTTAAAAGGACAATGGAGTTGGTGTGAAACTAAATCTTGAAAAGGCATTTTGTGAATCAGGATTAAACTTCGATACTGTGAATTTGTGATTAACAATCAGTAACAGTATGTTACCCAAAATCATAGAAGCAAAATTATTTATGGTTAGGCTAATTTCAGCTCATAAGAAATAAGCAAGCCTCTAAACCCACCCAAACGTATATCTAGGCAGGTTCTGGTTCAGATTGGAGTACAATATCAAATTGTTATGCATATCAGTATCACATATGTAATTCTTTCAGTCCGGCTCAGCATTGAGTTTAAACTTCCTTCTTATGAATGAAAGTTATAAAGTTCCTGAAATTCCATTATGCATCCCAAGTATTAGTGCTAGATCACGCTGTGAAGCCTGCAGAGTCGATTAACATGTTGAACACCATACCACTTCCTTTTTTCTAGGGGCAGCCAAGTACCAGGTTTTCATTTACAGGATATAAAAGAGAACATTCTTAACCATTCACTTAGATTTTAGCATCCAACAAGCAAACAAAACAATGTCCTCATTTAGTTTATAACATCCAAAATTATAGGGAAATAGCCTTAGAAAGAGCAGTCAAAGAGAATTTTACATCTGCGGCATGAAATTGGAGCCGAAAAACTGCTTTAACTTTAATCTTCTCAAGTTTCCACTTTGTGATCCTCGACGTTATGCCACCACAGACCTAAGCATCAGCTGCTACCCAAACTGTACAGACGTGCATCATGACAATGCCATCACTAGAATCTTCACACAACATGCAATCCATAATAAACCATTACAATCAACTAATGGAAAAAATATTAGAAACCTTACCGTACGCACATCAATAACTGCTTCAATCAAGCAATTTCATAAACATTAGATGATTAAAGTAATCTAATCAATGCCTAAGCCTATAACAACGTCTTCTTTCAAGTTAAAACATCAGAATCCCTTTGGCTAATACACTTCAATTCAGCAATCTCAGAAATAGATCAGAAGGAAACTGTGTTAAAAATTGAAAAAAGAAGAGTTCCAGTTGCATTAGTGAAAAAGGAAAACCCAGATCTTGAGATGTACGTAAATAAAAAACCAAGTCAGAGAAATAAAAAAATTCTGAGGCCAAATTGACCTAACCGAAAGTACCTTTTCTTGAATTCACGAGAATGAGTGAAAAAATCAGCCAGTCCTCCGTGATGCATTTCCTAATTGATATCATAAGACAAAGAAAAAACTTTATGCAATGCCATTTAAAAAAATAAATAAAATAAAATAAAATAAAAAAACCGCAGAAACCCCACAAATTATTCCTAGATATTCAAGGACCCAGAACCAAAAAATTCTAATAAAATTCAAGAAAATACTCTTTCTTGAAAACTAAATCAAGAATCTGAAAATGGGATTCTCAGAAACCCACAAATGTTAAAGAAAAATTAAACGAAAAGCTAAACTACAGTAGCAACTGACAGTGTTTTTATTTTTATTAAAAAAAAAAATTATTTGCACAGCTAAAAATCATCCACAAGTCACCTGCCGCTCTTACAGTGGAGTGTCAGTAACATTTCACAGTTCAACGAGCTCACACATCATATTCATACACACCCCCATTTCAAAAAATAAAAATAAAAATAAAAAATAAACAAAAATGCTATAATCATGTGACGAAAAATTGAAAAAAGGAAGAACGATAAGCAATTTTACATAATCAAAGGAGATATGAAAGTTGTCTAAGTACCTAATAATGAATGGATCTTAGGTGGGAAGCAGCTTGAAGTGCAAGCAAATACGAGAGAATGAAGGAATCTTTGCTCTGAAGAGAAAGAGGAGACTCGCCTGTCAGTCACTGACGGTGGAGTATAAATTCAGTAAAATCAAGCTATGATTTTTCACCATTCAAATGCCGAAAAAGAACTCTGAATAATGAAAACAAATTATTTTCTCAATTTTGTGTATTTGAACATTAATCAAGACGGAAAAGTAGGATTAGAGAGCTTAAAAAGTCAGAAATCCCGCCAAAGCATGCAATTTTCAGTAATTAACTTTGTTTATTTTGAAACCAATTAATCTTGAGTTTTAATTGTTCCAAAGATTACTGAACTTGTGGTGTATTTGATAGGGCCAATTCCATGTAAATCAAATTCCATTTTCTATCCAAATTGAAGTGTTTGATATCACACTTTTTTTATGGAATTCATTTCTTGATTGTCTTGTAAATTGTTCTTTTCTTGATTTTCCTTAAAACCAATTCTTGGTTTTCCACCCTACTACGTTTTTTTTCTTTTTTGCTCTTTCTTTCTTTTTTTTTTTTTTTTTTTTTTTTTTTTTTTTTGTAATGGAAATAAATTCTAAGAATTATTATAAAAAAAATATTTTCCTTTAACTGAAAATTTTCATGTAAAATAAAGACAAACAAACAACAAAAGATAGATGATTTTCTTAATTTTTTTTGTTGGTAATGGAAACAAATTTCATACCCCATATCAGTAAATTATATCCCTTTAATTGACGATTTTCATATAAAATAATGTCAAACGAACATCAAAAAATACTTTTATTTCAACATTTTCCACGTGGAAAATTATATCAATCAAACATAATAATTTACAATTTTTAAGAAAATAATTTTTAGACAATTCAATTCCTTAGAATTCGTTTTCAATTCAATTTAATTTCATCTTTGCAATCAAACGGATCCTTAGGTCCACATTTTTTATTGGCCACTGAACTTTAAAATATCGAGTTTTGGATACTGAATTTTGAAAAATGTCGAGTTTTGAACACAGAATTTAGGTCAATGTCTTTGATTGGTCACTGAACTTTAAAATGTCAAGTTTTGGCCACTGAACTTAGGTCCATGTCTTCGATTGCTCACTAAAATTTAAAATATCGAATTTTAACCACTGGACTTTGAAATATGTCGTATGTTACTTACTATCATAATTCTTGAACTTTGAAAAATATCAAAGTTACAATAAATGATGTCCAACATTTTCAAAGTTTAGCGGCCAAAACTCGACATTTTAAAAATCAGTGAGCAATTGAAGATATGAACCTAAGTTCAGTGATCAAAACTCGACATTTTTCAAAATTTAGTTGTCAAAAGTCAATATTTTAAAGTTCAGTAGCTAATCAAAGATATGGACCTAAGTTTAGTGACCATAACTCGACTTTTCAAAGTTCAGTAGCCAATCAAAGACATAGATCTAAGTTTAGTGACCAATGGAACAATTAAACATGGAATTATTCTACTTGACCAGGGCCCATGTAGCCCTAGTTTCCGGGGGGACAAGTAGCATCACTCACAAGTTGGTATAGTTACTAGAATACCCTTTCATGTTGTCAGCCTAAGGGGTTAATTTTGTGGAATTTTGAAGATTGGATGAGGAGATTTTTGGAATTTAAACAGTCCCCTTCCACCCTTACGCCCAATTGTTGACTATTTCAATCCCATATAGATCACCCTAAAAAATCAATTTTTTTTATCATTATTTCACTATGTCAATCATCATTTTTAACTTTTTCACTCACAGATAGGATTTAATTTTCTCTTTAACGGTTAAAAAATCAATTCTTATAATCACTATCGAGCATGC